ATTAGACATAGTCTGGCTCGGCCTGCCCGACCAACCGCCTTCTATATATCGTTCACTCCCAGCCGACAGCGACAGCGACAGCGATGATGACGACGACACTGACTGTCGACATCTGTTCGCCGCACAACCCTCCTCCAGTGTTGAGCTGTGCTGATGCTGTTCTTGCTGGGGGTACACTTGTAAGGCGCACGCACGCGGTTGTCTGCACTTGATCTCGAGCAGGCTTATGTGGCAAGTGTGCGGTAGGGGGTACATGCGGCAGGTTGCTTAGCATTTATTATGGCAAAAACATGGACTAAGTCTAAGTAAAATATAAATATGTTTTACAATGTGTTTGTAAGTGTGTTCATAAATAAGTATGTAAGTGTGCGTGTCTGATTTTCTACTGTGGAAATAAAAGTTATTTCGGCTTAGCTGAGAAATAAATGCTTTTAAGCCGATTGTTATTGCTGTAAATGGTTTTTTAATCTTTGGAAATTAAGACACTTCAACAAACTTTTAAAATCTTCGAATAAGAAAATGAAGCGTTGCTTAAAAAATTATGAAAACTTTTCAAGGTAAAAAATTTTGGCAAAAAAAAAAAATTGTTCACGTAAAAAAACACAACAACAAATACGAATAGTACATTGACCGTACAGAGGCTTTAATTCCTTTCATATTTGCTTTTCTTATAATGTAAAAAGGTATTTATTTGATTTTGAACGGTCAGTTTGCACGACAGCTATATTATATAGTAGGCCGATCTGAACAATTTGTTCAGGGATTGTAGCGTTGTCTTAGATAATAATCTAAGCCAAATTTAATGTAGAACAATTATCAAATAAAAAAGTTTTCCATACAAGCGTTTCATTCCAACCGTTCAGTTTGTATGACAGCTATATGCTATAGTGATCCCATCTAATTTATTTCCTCGGAGATTGCACCATAGCCTTAAGCAATAATCCTAGTCAAATTTGGTAATTATATCTTCTAAAATAAAAAAGTTTTCCATATAATAACTAGATTTTTATCGGTTATTTTACCGGTTATGGTTGTAAACTCACTGGTTTGATATCGCCGGTTCTGACAAAGGCAGACACTAATGTTTCGATTCTCTCGTTTAATTTCTTTACCAAAAAAATCATTACTTTCATTTTGACTTTTTGAGATCATCTGATCAAATAATTGCTTCTTATAAGTAATAAATACGAGTTACAAAAATATTGCAAAGCATTTATTCCGGCTATAACCGCATAAGCGGTGTCTACGTTAATAAAACAGAAGAATTCGTCCCGAAAATTTTCGTCGCTGTCAAATTTGGGTCCCGAAAATGTGCTTTCCTAATTTTAGTATTGCGTTTATTTGCGTTGTGTTGTAATTATTTTTACTTTAAATTTCGGGATTGTGTAGATATATTTTCAGATTCTTGAAATCCGATTTTCAAAACTACGTTTATAATTTTAGTTTCTAATTTTATTATGATAAGACCTGTATTTCTTTGTTTTCGTTTACTTTCTAAAAATCCCGCAATTTTGGGATTGTGTATATTTTCAGATCCCTGAAATCCGATTTTCAAAATGTTCTTTTCTATTTTTAGTGTTTTGTAATTATAAACCTGTATTTCTTTATTTTCCTTTACTTTCTTAAAATCCCGAAATTTCGGGATTGCATAAAACCGGATTTTCGAAATATGCTTTTCTAATTTCAGTATTTCGTTATCGTAATATCTGACATACATATTTTACTCTCGTTTACTGTCTCAATGTCTCGAAATTTCGGTATTGCGTATATTGAGATCCTTGCAATCCCATTTTTAAAATGTGGTTTTCTAATATTAGTATTTCGTAATCATAAGACCTAATATTCTCTGTTCTCGTTTAATTTCTCAATGTCCCGAAATTTGGGGATTGTGTATACTTTCAGATCCCTGAAATTCAATTTTAAAATTTTAGAATTCGACATTGTAAGACATTTTTAAATAATAGCTAATAACAATAATAATAATATTAGTTACATAATAATTAAATCAATGGTTTCGATTTTGGATCCCGAAATTTTGGTCTTAAAATTTTTGTAATTTCGGTTGTAAAATATTTAATATATTAAAATTTTTTTTGTATTTCACTTCGTCATACCCTTCATCAATAATTTCTTCTTAATAAAAAGTATTATGTAAGTTATAAAGACATTAAAAATCAGTAATCCCGAAATTTTTCAGGACTGTCAATTTCAGATACCGAAAATATGATTTTCAAATTTTGGTATTTTCTCATTATCTAACTTATTGTAGTTGTTTTTTTTTTTTCATGAGTTGTGTAACATCTATACAACCCATATCATACACCAAGCAATTAATCTGTGCCATTTATACCCTTCTCGTGATAAAATTCAATTATCTTCAGCATTTGAATAAATCAAATTACATTGCATTAATATGCGTACTTTAACCTTTAAAAGAGGTGTGTGAGGCCGCTGCCACTTGTACTCATAACCATGGATGTGCGCGAAAGCAGACAAAAAACTGATTATCCCCACATCAACCCTTACAAAAGGGAAATGCCTGTGTTATATGAAATGCGATCGAACTAAATTTAAGCTGCGTCTAAGAATCACGACCGCGCATAGAGTCACGTTTTGCACAAAAAAGTTTATGAGCTTTTCCGATTATAAGCGGATGACCCATAAGATACGATAAAAGAGGGAGAGAAGAAGATAGGCGCGAGCAAATTTTTAATGGCCTACATAGATTGATATGTATATGTATATTTGTGAGGTTATAATTCCATGTATTTAGAAATCTGCTGCGGAATCATTAATACCGTTACAAACATCCACACAGTTCATCCTCGTATTATGAGCGAATAATTGTCGGTTTTGGCACGCATTGAGGGTGTCCACTGCTATGTTTTGGAGTTTGCTATATGTAAATATAGTTCATTCGTTCATTCTTCTTCATTATTAGCGAAGACACCGCTTGATTCAGCGTAGACAAATCAAATTATTAGATTGTCATGAGTATGTGGGCAGCTAAAATGCAAAACAACGTATCATAAAAAAAAACTGAAAATCGTTGTCAGATATAATAACCAATATGTAACCATTTTATAACCAAAACTAAAATTTTATTTCAATATGAGTGTATGATAACTAATATTTAACCCATTTAGTGAGTGATTGATAACCAATATATAACCATTTTATAACCAAAACTCGAATTCTAGTATGAAGAATGAAATGATGAAAAAACAATTAAGGAAGGGCTAAGTTCGGGTGTCACCGAACATTTTATACTCTCGCATGATAAAGTGATAATCGAGATTTCAGGTGTGGTTGTGAACCGATTTCACCCATATTTGGTACATCTCATCACGGTGTGAAGAAAATATTATATACCGAATTTCATTGAAATCGGTCGAGTACTTAGTGAGATATGGTTTTTGGTAAATAAGTGGGCGACGCCACGCCGATTTTCAATTTTAAAAAAAAGCCTGGATGCAGCTTCCTTCTGACATTTCTTCCGTAAAATTTAGTGTTCTGACGTTTTTTGTTAGTCGGTTAACGCACTTTTAGTGATTTTCAACATAACCTTTGTATGGGAGGTGGGCGTGGTTATTGTCCGATTTCTTCCATTTTTGAACTGTATATGGAAATGCCTAAAAGAAACGACTCTATAACTGTCTCTTATACACATCTAGATGTGTATAAGAGACAGGTTATTGTCCGATTTCTTCCATTTTTGAACTGTATATGGAAATGCCTAAAAGAAACGACTCTATACCTGTCTCTTATACACATCTAGATGTGTATAAGAGACAGCCCTATATCTGACTCTTTTAGTTTTAGGACTTGCAAACAACCGTTATGTGAACAAAACTATAATACACTCTTTGGCAACTTTGTTGCGAGAGTATAAAAAAATATCACTCGCGAACCTAAGGATTTTAATCTAATATTGCTGAGTCGTAGACTGACTGCGACTAGGAAGATTGGAATGAAGGAAAGAGAAAAAGACTTCACTCGAGTTCCTAAGGGCTTTTATCTATTGCTGTTGTGTCTGAATGTTTTTGTGGAATGGTGAGAGGACGAAAAATATATGTACATATAGTATACAATCACGCTACTGAAGGAAAATACACCACATGTTACCACAAAATTCTTAAGCTTACTTAATGATTTGACTAATGATGGCATATCTCAGTGTTTTATTCCGAAAAATATTCGGTAAAATGACGTAAAGCTAAGACTCAAATGTCATAGAGCCAATGTATGGAGAAGAGAGAAAGTTTGTCGAAAAATATTCAATGATCCATGATTGACGGTCTGTATCCTTGGTATTGAGATTAAATTTTTTGTTTGATTCGAAAATTTTAGGTAGATCTCGCCAATGTATGGAGAATTTCTCTACTTGGTGAAGAATACTCAATGTTCCATGGTTGAAGATCTGCAGCCTTTATTTTAAGATTTAAATTTTTTTGACTGAAATTATTTTAAAACTGAAATGTTTCGTAAATCTCTCGAATTTTATGTCGTCGGAAACATTTCTATAGTTTGGCTTATACAATTTGATCAAATTTAACTCGGACTAGCAAAATTATTTTAATATAAATCTTTTTTACCTTGAAGGTGGATCTTGAGCCAATACAGGCATGCCAACGTTTAGTCCATTTTTTTATACACTTGTGATAACTCTCAGCAGCGATTACCTCAAGTTCTTTAAGCGAATTTTGGTTTTTGCGGCATTTTCGAAGCGCGATTCTCGGAATCGTTGGACAGTTTCGAGTTAAAATTCATAAATCCACATCTTGTCGACAGTAAAGATGCGTTTGGTGAATTTAAGGTCCTGGGCTACTTCATAAATTCATGTTTCGTCGACAGTAATTCGCACTTCAATCAGTCCGATTTAAATTTGATCAGATGAAATGGAATGGCGCTTTCTGCCCTAAATTTCAATTAAACTGGTATTTGGTAACAACCATTGCGTAAACTTACCTAGCTTGCTCAAAATTCGAATTCGATTCGAAGCATTTTATGCTCTCAGAATGTTCACCTGCTGAGAAGATAGTAAAGAAATTGGTAGAATAGTTCAACATTCATAAGCTTTGAGTTGAGCAACGAAGTAAACTTTTTAAAGCTGCGGCTGCGGACTGCAGGGCTTTGTTTCGGAAGTCATGTTGTTGTTGTTTTGTTGTAGCGACAGAATTCTGCCGAGTTGAGAGTTCTTGGTCGTATTAAAATCCAGTCCGTTCTAGTTACGTAGACCCAACTGTTGTGGACACGATTTTTAGAGGTCATTCTGAAGATATGTTACGTGTCAAGGGAATCCAAAACTTCAATACGAATGGATTCTGTAAATTTAGTTCAATATTATTTTTTTTTTTTAAATAAAATACCCGTTCCAAAAAACAAAATTAATATAAAAGCTGACTTGCAAGCGGATAGAATCCTTTGATGCTGGCACTCAGCTTTTAGCCATAATCACTTGTATATTGCGGTGACAACCAAGAAAGGGCTTACTTCTGCTAAAAATTCTCCAAAATACATAAGTTACTAATATCACAGCCTTATGCATCTTAGCCATCATAACCCGATTATCCTTTACCCCCTCCACATAGTCTCATAGCCATCATCACCTTTCCCTTCATATAATTTATCAATTTCCTATTGTGCAACAATTAGATCGCCTCGATGTCTGTGTCTATAGTTAACATCAATTTTCCACATTCAACACTGCACCCTTTTCACCACACCACACACCACGTGTGTGTGTGTGTGTGTGTTGGTCTCCGCAAGCAATTGCTTTCTATTTGATTTTCCAAAGCGTTACGAATGCGTTTCAACCATTTTTTTTCTTTGTGAAATTACAAATTTAGCGCGACGCGTCATTTCGTCATGCGTTCACAAATGCCTGCCTCCATCTCTTCCTACTTTTACTGCATATTCTCCCTTTCTCCTGCGTTGACTCTGTGGTGTGTTAGCGCCAACTCGCTTGTGATTGCCCTTTTGTGTTGGCGGATTTTCCATACCCCTTTTGCTTTTTTACTTCGCACTTCACCAACACAATGACATGGAAGAACGCTATTATTATACTGCTGATCACTGTTGTTGTTGTAATTTGTTAGCTGTTTATATATCAATGTCACCATGAATGCAAATCGCCGACGGGCTTCATTTGTGTGATGTTGTTGTTAGTGTTGTTCTAGAAATTTGTTGTTGTTGGTATGTGTTGTTGTAGCTGTTCGCTATTGCTGCATCTCGCATGCATATTTGTGTTGTTGTTGTTGTTGTTGTAGCACCAACTTGTTGTTGTGGTTGTAGCGAATTTGTTATTGTTGTTGGTACGTGTTGTTGTAGCGGCTTGCTTTTGCTGTTTTTGCTGTAACACATCTGTAATGTTGTTGTTGTTTTAGCACCCTGTCGTCGTTCTTGTTGTTGTTGTAGCGCCTTGCTAATGTCGCTTTGCTGGGCGTTTGTGTATTTTGTGTTTGGTCATGCTCCATTTATCTCGGGTGTGTGGACGAACAGATGTTCCATTTAAACGCGTATTATTATTATTATTACTATTATTGTTGTTTTTGTTGTAACTTGTTATTTTCTATGGCGCGTCTGAGTTTACCATAAGGTGGCTGAAGGTATGCTCTGTGACGTCAAGTCAGTGGCTGCTGTGTGGCGTTGACAGACTGACATAGCAGAGGAGGGCGGTTGATGATCATGCTGATTTGCCGATTCGTTGCATCGAAGCTTTACTTCTATTGACATGTGTGTGTATTGACATGTGTGTATGTATGTGTAAGTGAGTGTGTGTGCTTTGTGTGATGGGCGGTTGATTAGGGTGAATTAATGGTCATGTAAGGTGGATTATATGATTGAATACGAAAATAATTATGTTTCGAAATTCGATGCCGTCACGGCCAACACACAGCCATATGCAGATATAAACAAACATACGTACATATACATAGGCATAAAGATTGATTTGTCGTAAATATAGTAGTAACGGCGCTTGACAGATGCGCAAGTACTGTGGAGTGAGGTTGGTGTGTGCATATACAGGTGGACGGACATTGATCTAGATTTTATTTGTTTTAATTTTTTTTTGCTTCGAAATCTTGGCGTACATAATGCGTAAATAATGTTTCTGGTGATTTATGTTATTTTTATTTGTTTGCCATATGCTTCATGAGGCGCGTATTTAGTATATTCTAAGGCGGTAAATAGAGAACTAGAAACTTCGTTGGAAAAATGAATGCGATTTAAAATATTCTTAACTAACAAAGATGGCCAAGACGACGAATATGAGACCGTCTACCGCAGAAGTAGTAAGATACTTACAACTAGGTCCCCTACACTCACCGTCACTTCAAAACAACCAGGCAAAACCAGAGAAAAGACTGCCTCAAGGGAAATACCGGCTACACAAGCACCACCGACAAAACAAGGAGAAGGAGGTCCCCAGTAAGAAAGGACATCAGAACTCGCCGAAACAAGAATACATTACCCAAATTAGACTAGCAGAAGAGTAATCCTTAGAAAAGTGTAAAGGTATCATGCAAAAAGTGAAGATGGCGGTGTCACATAAAAAAAAAAAAAAAAAAAAAACTTCAGCGTCGAAATCTTCGACGTCATCTAGAGTTACAGCAGAAACTGGCTCATTGCAGAGAATGAGAAAAGGGGGGGTATATCTGCAGACACATCACGATCACCGAGTCAATAAGGTCGAAGCGGCGCGCGACAAGTCCTGTGGAGCCTCGAGAAACAGTGCGACTACTTCTCACTTGCCGAAGCCGCCGATATGGAACTACTATAGCATATATATAGGCATACAAACTAACAGGACAAAATCAAGACGAAGACCTAAAGCGCTAACTTGAGAATCGAAAACCAATATTAAAGATATGGTGCTTAGACCGAGTGTTATACCAGTAATGTTTTGGGAAACGTATCGGCTTAGTTTCATATAAATATCACAGATATTCACCGAAATAAACTTTTTAAAGTTTAAATTTGGACTAAAGGAAGGTCTCGTCTGATTGGATTTATTGAAATATACTGGCGAATATGTTTTCATGCAATCTTAGAACGATAACTCATAAAAATATAATTATTATTATCGTTAAGATGAAAATCATTATATGTATATGGTATATGGGAGCTGGTTCATTCATGGATCTGAATCCCACATTTTCGGCTTAATTTTACAGCGATATCTTACATATCAACCAATATTTAGGGTATAAACCCAACTGGAATATGACAATCCTTTTATGGGGTATATGGGAGCTAGGGGTAATATTGACCCGATTTTGTCCAGTTTTGACACCAAGTCTTTTATTACCAGAAAAAGATGTTCACCCACTTGCAATAAGCTTTGCTACAGATTCACAAACACATATATATATTAGATTGTCAAAAAAGTCTTGCGGTATTATTATTATTATTTTTATTTTTATTTTACAACGGTTTGATGACTCATGCCCAGCTCTTGATTGATGGTTTGATGAACGGTTTGATGACTCATGCACAACCATCGTTGTGCGGTCGAAATGGAAACTTTATCGGGTCCATAAACTGCACAAATTTTATTGGCGGCTTGAGATGCATTTTTGCCTTTATCGTAGTAGTACTGTAAAATATGCCGTATTTYCTCTTTATTTTGCTCCATGTTTGCGACGCTATAACTCACGAACGACTTGAAAAAAAACGGCAATCTATCAAACAGGTGTTAGCGCGTGAAATGAGCTTTCGAAAAAGGTATAGCCTGACCCGATGCGACAAATAAAACTAGAACTCGCGCCATCTAGCGAAAATACTGCAATACTTTTTTGACAACCTCATATAACGTGGAAAATCAAATGGCATTTTGAAAGGTCATTTGGGCCTAAGAAAAGAGCGATTGGTTCCAAACTTACTAAATTTTTTCGAAAAACAGGGTCGCATTGACTTCAATGAGTCAATATTTTCCGCCTACCAGAATGTATATTATAAATCTTGGATCTATGTTTACGATTAGTCGGCCAAATATAGTAGCAGAGGTGAGCCGAAAAAACCTCGTCAAAGCAGGTAAAAGGAGGCTGATCATATCTCTAAACTTTGCTTGGTTGTATCCTCCCAATAGTAACGTGTGGTCACGCGTAGCGCATTGCTATTGTCTGCTACCATTTCCGTACTCTCTCCCCTCTCCACATATATATATATGTATGTCTCTATATCTTTATACAAAAATTAAATTAAACGTCGCTAAAGTATTACTCTTCCATTCGCTTCCAGATGAGCTCGCCTTCAGTATTAATCGTCTGGTTAAAGCCGAACACTTGTCCAGTCATCACCCGCCTACGCTACTCAGTAGCAGCGCCGCCAACAACCCAGCAGCGAAACATGACGAAGACAACAACAACTCCATCTGCATATTGAGCAAAAATCAAATACTACAATGGAAACTACAACAACCGCTAAGTGACAGCGGCATTAGCGAACCGCGTTCCTACACGGAACACGATATCATTTCCAGATCGCGCAGTCATTCGCGCACCTCATCACAAATCGATCTCGATGACGACAGCAATTGTCGACGCTCGCTACATTCGCGTTCGCGTTCACGTTCAAGTTCCGTCGAGCTCGAAGTCGATTCACCGCCACCGCCCGCCTTGCACCATCACCACCATCAACACAACAGTCGCACCAGTCCATTGAGTTCGCCGCCAACAACCGCAGAGCTTTTAATTAGTTCGAGTCCGAAAAAGTCTGAAATGTTTTCAGTGTCGGCGCTATTGCGACGCGATGAGCCGGCGGCGCATGGCGTGACGGTCGTACGACCGTTGCAGAAGTCACCAACAGGCATGAGTTTGCCGGCTGGTGTGAATCCTTTCGAGGCGTTTCGCAATGGTTATGTCAGCAGTAGTGGTGGCGGCGGTGGAGGCGCTGCTAGCTACGAGCCGCCATTCTTTCAACGACCGCTGTTGCCGCCCGCCTTCCCGCTGTTCGCCGCCTTTGCGCTGCATCAGGGTCAACAATCTGGTTTAACCTCAGCGTAAGTAGCTTCATTTTGTGTACATATAATGGTTAAAGTGTAAAATAATTGTAAAAAACACTTGAAACAACAAAAACTTAATTAAAAGCGGCAAAATATTTAATTGCCAGTCCACGGGCACATGTTCAAAGCACATATGTAAATTCGCTGCTTTTTCTTCTTGCTCCACAGCTATCATCCCGCTTCGCAGGAGGACATCTTTCGGCTGCGCAATCTGATGGTGCCTCTGCAGGCGGGTCAAAATGGCGACGCGTCTGGTCTGCCGCCAAATTCCCATCTCGGCCTGCCACATCCACCGCATCTGCATTTCCACCACATGGC